ATTAAATATGCTAATTAATTAGTGCAGTCGATATTTTAAGTTACGAAATCACACAACTATTTTAATTTTAAAAAAGTCGCATAGTTAAAACTGGAACTCTCAGGTACTATTCAGCCGATTTCGTTCAAATTTTGCCATGAAAAAACTCATACTTTAAAGTGATCTGAAAAATTTTATACCTTACAATTCAGATTTTTTTGGATTATTATTACATATAATAATAGTCAAAACAAACGAATTGGACGAATTCATGATTGTATGCAAAATTTTTTAAATTCGCTTAAAAAGCTCTCGAGATATGACTAAATAAGCAAAAAGTAAAATTAACATTAAGGGGTCCAAACTTTGGATTGCTCTCCTAACCAAACTATAGGATCCATATTTCCCAGATTGCGGCTGTCCCTTAAATTTTGGGTGTCAGAAATCCGAATCCGTTGTAAAAAAGATTTGATTTCTGTCATTCACGGAAGGAAACATATGTACATTAAATGTATTGCCCTCCCCCCACTATCCCCTATCTTCTGCACTATTTAAGTAGCATATTTAAGGTTACCCTATTATGTTTCAGACCTAGAGCTATGTTTCCCTAAGTGTAGTACGCGTACCCCCAGGGGTACAGGAACAGTTTAGCGGGGGTACGCGTTCTTATGCGAAATATCTTGGAACAAACAAAAATTTCACAAAATGTTATTTTAAAACAAAGCTAGCCATGAAAATTTACTATTAAGTATTTTTCTATTGGCTATTTTTTGCAGAGTTAACAGTTAATAATTAGGGGTATCAACATCCAGTTGTGATTTTTAACTTTTGGGCAATTTTTTTTACAGTAAAAAATACATTCATTTTGTATTAGTCCTACACAGCGTTACGAAAAATTTAGGAAGGGTACACAAAAGTCATAAGTTTGGGAAACACAGACATAGAGAGTAAAGATCCGATCCTTAGATCAAAAGTTATTCACGGAGGTCCGTTTTTAATAGCCGACTGTAGTACATGCATCAATGAAGAAAGATACTCTGTAGAACAAAATTTTCATTAAGCTGCCCAATGTGTCCATTTTAAATTTTCCATCAATCAATGTGGATCAATTGTCTATCAAATCGTTAACAATTCACATATTTCAAAATTGGAATGCATATGTTACTGCGAATGATCGAAATCGGTGGCTGTTGACTTCCACCTGTGACTGTTGACAATCACATAGTCGCTTTGGTAAATGTCAGAAGTATGTACTAGGTTTAGTTAAGTGCATCTGCCCTATATACATTTGCCCGGTATACCCTACACTGGTGTGTTTTTTTAAGGTTCAGTGCCACTGCCCGATTTGCCAGCTACTCCGAAAACTGATGCTTCTCCTTATCTATCCTCAATAGATATTAAATATCGAATAAATATACTAATATCAACGAATAAATTAATATCAATCAGATATAAAAAATATTTCGGGCATTCACCAAAACGACAATGTGATTGTTGACATTCACCAGTCGACATTTCGGTCATTCACGGAAACATATGTTCATTAAATGTATTGCATCCCCCCCCGAAACATATTTAAATAAAGTTCTTTAAAAGTTAGAATGTTTAAATAACTTTTGTCTCATATTTATATTATTTTTATCGTTAAATAAACGTTTTACAGACTCTGATTATTTCTGATATGAAATGTTTTCTTTTTTAAAATATTAATTTAATCCAAGCAAAAAATAAGCGTCTATTAGATGAAAAGGAGTTATCGATATCGGGCACCGACTCGTTAGGTTTGAGGAAAAAGTGGCTTCTAAGCTATTAGAGTCTACCGGACACTGGCTACTGACTGAAAATTTAATTTTTCAGGTCTAATTCCTGTCCAAATATTAATTGTTTGCGAAATAAATAATTAAATGAAATGTTTATATACCCCTTCCTGTCTATCTCTTCGTTCCGTGATGCACTTTTTATTTATTTATTTTTACTGAAAATAGTAGGAAAATACGAAAATGAGTAAGAAGGTCTAATGATAAAAATAGAAGATCATTATCTAAATAACTTGACGTGAAACATACAAAATTTGATTAGTTTATAGTTTCATTACTTAGCAACGATAAGTTCTTAAAAATTTTAATATAGTGCACAGATTCCAATTTTTTTTCCAGCTATGGAACCCTAAATGATCCAACTTCTCTCGGTGGAATCCCTACTTAATGAATAAAGTATATAAAGATAATTGTAAGTGTATGCATCAATAAAATACTATCTTATTTTGAAAATAATTATGAGGTACCCAGATTCAAATCCCAGCGATGGCTAGAATTCGAATTTCGCACTGATCATAGTGCTGACATAAAAATATTCTAGAGTGGTGGATGGATCATGAGTTAGCGTTCCCTTGCTATCAGGCTAACCGTGGGAGGTTTTCATAGTGTTTCTCTCCATGTGAGACGAATGAGAGTTTTTTTCATCTAAACGTCCTCCACGAAGGTAGATTTCTAGCAATACTTGATCCAGGAGTTGCTTTGTCTTCTGGATTGTGTTCAAAATTATAATGCTACGAAGTTGAACTTTGGTAGCCGTAAACTCAAAGGAAATGGAACTAGAGGAATGAGATCCGTGGTGGCTCAGGGGATCACCCCCCAATGAGGTGACTCAGATTCGAACCCAAACTATGTGTGATCGACACGAATTCTGAACACGGCTTGCACCAACACCACTGACGTCAAATATCCTCTTTGATAGACGGATCATGGGTTATAGTCCCTTTGTCGTCAGGTTAACCGTCGGAGGTTTTCCTCACTATGTAACTCAAACGGGGGATAGTTGCATCAAAAAGTCCTCTGCGAAGACAAATTTCTCACAATATCCAGGAGTTTCCTTGACCTTTGGATTGAGTTCAAAATTACAAGGCTATGGAGGTGAACATTTGCAGTCGTAAACTCAAAAATTCGGCAGTTCAACGACGCTAATAAAATTAAAGAAAATATTTTTTTTTTCATCGTTTCATGGTTAATTATCTTTAATTAAAATTTGGTCCCACAGTTAAATTCGCAGTCCTGCAGCTTTATCTATCCTAGTAATGAATTCGCATTTAAATAAACCGATGAAAGAATAATAAATATTGTTTCTTGCTGACGATTTTCTTCTACAATGAAACTAAGGTAAAAATTCTTTATCTCGCATTTGATTTGTTAAGAGCATGTCAGCGTAAGACGCTCCATTTTTAGTGATCCAATCAAATCCAATGCTCTTGCTATGTCACATAGTTGCTTCTTTTTCAAGAACATAAGTTCTTAATTATCAAAATATGTCGACAAGTCTAAGATTCCAGTAAGACTACGAAACTATCACTTTTTTTGAAATTTGTTCATTAATATACTTCATAAAGGATAGCACGAATTACATTTCGGTCTGATGTGTTTAACTTTTAAGAACTTTTATATTGTTGTAAAAGCATAATTGTATAATTTGTTAACGAAATAAAACGGAAGTATATGTAGTCACAGATGATTACTTGAATCCTATACTGCAAAGGGCCTCTTTTTTTTAAACTTGCACGGGAGTATAATGTGTCTATTATCGTTGTAAATAAAATAGGCATTTCCGTGCTTCTGGCTCAGTTTTCTCATTCTTCCTCTCTGTTACAATGGTTAAGGAAAATCTCGCTTGTCCTCCGCGGCAGTACGTTTCAGAAAACAATGGGAATGTACTAGCACGGAGGAAAAGCAAGATTAGCAGATACTATGGTAACTGAGAGGGAAAAGCGTGGAGAGTGGGGAAATCACGTATCTCTGAAATGCTTAGAGTTACAAAATTCCAAAAAACAGTGCAAATTAATAGGTTGTTTCAATTTAAAACCGAATCAAGCATTTATACATACTTTAAAAAGTGCAGTCAAACTTGAACATCGATAATTCAGGATGCTTATACCAAGTTCAGGTGTATTTTTTTAAACTAAAAAAAGTTATGATGGTTTTGTCCGAAGGAACCTATTGGAATATTTTGTTACATAACCGTCGTTAAACAAGTGACCCATTTTTGAATTTACGACTACCAATGTTCAACTCTATAGCCTTGTAATTTTGAACTCAATCCAGAGGGCAAAGGTACTCCTGGATCAAGTAATGGAAGAAATGTACTTTCATGGAGGACTTTTTAATGGAACTAACCCGTATTTGCGTTACAAGGAGATATAAACCACGAAAACCTTTAAGATTTTCCAGATGACAAGGTGACTTAAAACCATGATCCATCGTCAACCACTGAGAATTTTTGTATAAGTACTGTGGTCGGTGCGAGCTGGGTGTGGAATTCGTATCAACCAGCCATCGCTGGGATTCGAACTCGGGACACATTGAAAGGCGAGCATTCTTTCTTCTGAGTCACACGGCTCAAAATCTTGAAATAGTTAAAATTTGACTTTTTCTTGAAAAGCAAAAAATATTTGGAATGGTCTTTTCTAGAAACATATAAATCTAGACTTTTGGGTAACGCCCTAAATCAACGATGGGGTTCTAAGAAACAAATAAATCTAATATTAATTATATAATTAAACTAATGTTAGTACAAAATTCAAAAAAGTGAGGAATCTCTATTTTAATATCAGTAGTACTTTGTTTACGTTGTGCTAGAGCTGCACAGTGAGCTATTGGCCGAGGGTCAGGGAAACTCCCCTGATAATAATCCCAGACATGCCATCTCAATTTTAATCCCCTGCAGAGAGGATGGCTCCCACGCTTTGATAGCCCGAGCATTTTATTGGCTGATCAGTTTATCAAGGACCAATACTGTAAACTCTCGATCCCTTAGCTGGCACCGATAAAAGTGGTCCCCCACCTGCTCATTGACCGAAGTCAGTGACCATACGATCCACAGATAACCGTGTCTCGTGATCAGTTCACTATGGGAAAATTTGATGAATTGTAATAACGGCTTCTAAAAACGTAAAAAATAAACAAAATAAAATAAATAGGTAAAAATCAAACAAATAAATAATAACAAACAAATAAATCATAACAAACAAGGAGCACATTTGTGATACATGATCAAACATTTATTAATCCAATTAAATTAATGAAAATATAATAACAATTTTTAAAAGGTAAAGTTTTATTAAAAATATTATCACATAAGCTATATGATGTGATCAAAATATCACATAAATACTACATAATCATCAGTATACATTTACAAAACAATTCTATGGTAGGTGTCTAGTTTTTAAGTTATATAGTGCTTTTTTTTTACAACAAAAATACGAAAAATATCGAAGCCTGAAAATTCATGAAATCTCTAATTGAACAGTTTACAGCTTATACGGTGATGAAAAATGTCCATAACAAGCACAGAATTCACAAGACATTTTTTTTTCATTGCTAATTTACGATACCTAAAAATCGACATTTTAAAGTTTTTATATTTATATCATGATTTATATGTTTTTTACCAATTTTCACAAAGCACATTCATTATATTTATTCTTCATAACAATTTTTATTAATTGTTATATCGAATTAATTAGTATATCAAATCTTAACACATGTTCATTTTATTTTACTTCATATAGGTAAGTTTGTTTTCTGCTTTTCTTCTTTCATCTTAAACTCATTTACAATTACATTTTTTTAAAATTTCTTAGAGGCAAAGACATATTATAAAGAGTGGTTTTTATCTTAGGATAATTATTCTTTATTTTGAAATATCAATTTAGCTGTCGTAATGTCCTGATGAGAACCTTTACATTTTCCGGCATTATACATAATTTTTCTATTTGCATGATGTTTTGTTTTTTAATATATATATATATATATATATTTATNACATATATATATATATATATATATATATATTGAAAAACAAAAGCATTACTCCCAAAATTACTCATTGAATTTGGTAAGCATATAAATTCCATAATCTTTAACAATAGTAAAATATTCAAAACACTGTTTGTAAGCAGTTTATAAAAAATAGAAACTCATTATTTAAGTTTTAAAAAAAATAGAGAGACAAATGTGTTAATAAATTACCTTTCTTTTTAAATCATAAAAAGTTTATATCGAAGATATATTTTAAATTTATTTATTGTACTAAATAATTTGTTAAAAATTGCTGAAGATGATAATCAATGACAAATAAAATGCATGAAGTTATGGGGTCATTTTCTAATCGAATTATGGCTTCGAGTAACTGGATTGCAATTCGAAACATGACCATTTGGAGGGATGCACAGACATAAGATCTTAAAATGAATTAAGAATAAGAAAATAAAAGTGGCATGCTTTAGGAATCATTTCTAAGAGAACATCAGTAAAAAGTTTCAAAAAAAGAAATTCTATATGCCACTAATATTTTGATTTCAAATATTTAAGCAATTAACCCCAAAAATGACGGACAGTTTGAAAAATTAATTTATGAAAAACGGAAGGGTGCAAATAACTGCGGTTTGCTGCGCTCAGTTCAGGAAACTGTGTAACTATTATCACCAAAATTCCAATTAATAACTAAGTACGTCAACAGATGGAGCGGCTACAATGTTGGTCTAAGATTTTTGTCTCTGAGAAAAATCAGAGGAACTGTAACCAAGCATGTGTGCTTCAGGTAGCATTAACCTGGCTATGAAGTGGCTACTTTTTAAATTAACCCAGTTGACTACTTGCTAAAGCGTAAGAGGGTCATGTTTTGAATTGCTGCCTAGTTATATTCTTTATAAATAGAAAAGACGACTCGTTATAGAGTTTTCTCACTCTCCATACTTTTCCCCTCTCCATTGCCATAGTTTCGTCGAATCTTGCTTTCCCCCCCACATAAGTATTTCCCAATTTTCCAATTTTTGTTCCGAAACGTACTGCTATGAGAAGAAAAGCGAAATTCGCTGGAGGCATGAAGCCATGGAAACGAAGAGGGGAAAAGTGTGGAGAATGGAGAAATCACGTTATCTTGAGACGCCTATTCTGTTTACAAAGACCATAATCATGATAGTCGAACTTGTAAGTGCATGTAAATATTTGAGGTGATTAAAGAAAGTTGAGAGGAATGACTATGTTGAAGGGAGTGCCCAAAGAGTAGCTGTTTTGTCAGCGCTGGTGGAGAGGAATGTAAATTCTTGTGGGTGCCATCTTGTTTGGATTACTTTGTCTGCATGCTCTGCCACTTTCACTGTTGCCAAAGGCTGTGTCAGATCACCTAGAAAAAAAGAGCACACATGAAAGGATTGAGTTAGTTAATACTATAATTAATAAGTATTAAAATTTTGTTACGTTTTTAACTCCCTTTCGTCTCTGTTACGATGGAATATTGCATTGAAAATTGCAATCCCTTTACCACTAGATTCGAGCCGTAGTCGGACAATAAGTAGAAAAAAAATTCAGAAAAAAAACTTACTAAAAAAAGCTTTTTTCTAAACAAATTTATATTTACATGAAAGAGCAGTTCGTAGACTATTTTTTTACAGTAACTTAATAATTTAAATTATACTGGATGATAAAACGTTTTAGTTGGGAATGGAATTAAAATTACAGGGTTAGGTGTCCACTTTTTTAAAATTTATCTATGCTCTTAAAATGATTTCTTCCAAGACAAATTACAAGCTCCTTCGCATTCAGTTTTTTTTCTTTAAAAATGTATATGCAGTAATTTTTTTATTATTATTCTTCAAAAAAAAAAACTTTTTATTTTTATATTTTTAATAAGAACGGTATAAATACATGAACTAAATAAAGGTTTGAATTGAATCACTATTGGTAAGCAATATTCGGTAATCGACCAAAATATTGTCCCCCACTACATTGCTTCAAAAATGTGACAGTCACGGTGACTCATTTATGAAGTGACATGTGACCTCTGCAATGTTGAAGAGTAGGTTTTTGAAGGTTACTATGCCCGCCATTGATAACGTCGTATTTTGACGACACTCAGACGTCAACATGAAACCACAATGGGACATTTAATTGTCGCAGCAACGTTGAAAATGCGACAGATTCACGTTTCATCAGAGTCACAGTGTGACGAAACTGTGACAATATTCCCGTCTCAACAGGGTCACCGTGTGACGAAGATGCGACAATATTCCCGTCTCAGCAGGGTCAACGTGTGACGAAGATGTGACAATATTCCCGTCTCAACAGGGTCAACGTGTGACAAAGATGTGACAATATTCCCGTCTCAACAGGGTCAACGTGTGACGAAGATGTGACAATATTCCCGTCTCAACAGGGTCACAGTGTGACGAAACTGTGACAATATTCCCGTCTCAACAGGGTCACCGTGTGACGAAGATGTGACAATATTCCTGTCTCATCAGAGTCACCGTGTGACGAAGATGTGACAATATTCCCGTCTCAACAGGGTCAACGTGAGACGAAGATGTGACATATGACATATTCACGTCTCAACAGAGTTACGATGTGACGAAATTGTGATGTCACATTAGGGTCACCGTGTGATTAAACTGAGACGTGAATATGTTATATTTTATCTCACTGCGACGTCATTGTGACAGTTATGTGTCTCATTGCGATCTTGTGCTGACATCCGGGTGACGTTTCCAAANATATTCCCGTCTCAACAGGGTCAACGTGTGACGAAGAAGGGACTAAATTCCCGTCTCAACAGGGTCACCGTGTGACGAAGAAGTGACATTATTCCCGTCTCAACAGGGTCAACGTGTGACGAAGAAGTGACTAAATTCCCGTCTCAACAGGGTCAACGTGCGACGAAGATGTGACAATATTCCCGTCTCAACAGAATCACCGTGTTAAGAAGATGTGACAATATTGCCGTCTCAACAGGGTCAACGTGTTAAGAAGATGTGACAATATTCCCGTCTCAACAGGGTCACCGTGTTACGAAGATGTGACAATATTCCCGTCTCAGCAGGGTCAACGAGTGAGGAAGATGTGACTATATTCCCGTCTCAACAGGGTCACCGTGTGACAAAACTGCGACAATATTCCCGTCTCAACAGGGTTAACGTGTGACGAAGATGTGACAATGTTCCCGTCTCAACAGGGTCAACGTGTGACGATATTCCCGTCTCAACAGGTTCAACGTGAGACGAAGATATGACATATGACATATTCACGTCTCAACAGAGTCACGATGTGACGAAATTGTGATGTCGCATTAGGGTCAACGGGTTATTAAGCTGAGACGTGAATATATCATTTTTATCTCACTGTGACATCATTGCGACAGTTATGTGTCTCATTGCGATCTTGTGCTGACATCCGGGTGACGTTTCCAAAGGCGGACATAGTAACCCTTCAAAAACCCACGTTTCGAGTCACACGTGACTTCGCAAATGAATCTCCATGACTGTCGCATTTTGTTGCAATTTGGTTATGGTGCTATCTTGGTAGTTACCACAATTGTACAGATAATTGTCATTATTGTATACCAATTCATCTATTCTCCCTCCACAGAAAGAGGCCTCTAGCGGAGACGGCCATACACCGTTTTTATCATCGATTTTTAGAAATTGAAAATTTGTGGAAACTCATCACGAAGTGTTGTTAACCATCTGTTTTCCTGAATGTTCCATTTTTTCAAAAAATAAACCATCATTGACAACAGAAGCCTCATGCTTCATCACGAACACGTGTAGTAACATCATCGAATCAGCAAACCTACTTATTCACATTTAACCTTTAACTTTGAATCTCTAGAAGACGATGAAGAATGTCAGGTTACATAACATTCCTATAGCATATTACAGAATGCATTTCACAGCCGGTAGGATCTGCAATTGCTTTAAACGTTTTTAACACTTACTAACATATGTTGAACTACACGAACATTTACCTTGTAAATCGGTGAGCATGACTTTAGAATCATACGATCCTGTCAGTAAATAGAATGCTTTAGGAGAGAGTCTGGCTGTCCTGACATCAGCACCGTGTGGCTTGAATGTCTGTAGAGGTCGGTTTCCCTTCATGTCGTACAACATACAACTGGAATCTTCGTGTCCGGACACCAGGAGGCGACCAGAAGGATCCACTGAGACAGCAGCGGCTGCGCTACCTACATGAAATCAAAAATACCTAATTAATTTTTTTTTAATACTAAAAAATGTGTTGGTTGTCACACTAATGATCCCTATAGTAATGAGAAAGGCTAACCTAAAAGCGTATTATGTACTCTGCTTAGAATATATCTCTATACAATAATACTAATAATTACTAAAGTTTTTACTCAATCTAAAAGTTATCCTGAAATAACTAAAAACTGGGTTGGGTTTCAGACCAATGATTTCAATATTTATGACAATGATCATACCTAGAAGCTTATTAGGCATTGGGCTTTGAACAAACCACTAGACAATGTGACCAATAATTATGAAAGTTTTTGTCCAACCGAAAGTTATTCTGAGATACTAAAAATGGATTGGTTGTCACACCAATGCCTCCAGTTTTATTAATAAAGGTCACCCTATAAGCGTATTATGTATTGGGTATAGAATAGACCTCTAGGCTATATGACCAATAATAATGAAGGCTTTCGTCCAATCCAAAGTTATCCTGAGATACTATAAAATGGGTTTTTTGTCGCAACAAACTCCAATAGTAATGACAATTGCTAACATACAAGCGTATTATGCATTGGGCTTCTTTGAATTGATCACAAGAAATTACACAAAGATTTTTGCCCAATTTTAAGTTTAGATAATTCTCAAAACCTATTGCTAAAGATAATTTTTTATTGAACTACTAATCCGAAATTGCGAATGAAAAAACCATTTCGTCAAAAAATATTATTATCTCTTTAATTTTTGAGCAACATATCTATTTTCAAATTAGACACAAACTTATTTGAACTTGATATATGACTTAAACTTTTAAGCATTGAGCTAAATTTTGAATATCTTTGTTCAATTAAACAGGCATAATTATATTTTTAGCAGCTTTTTCAAAACTAAAGTATGCTTAGCAAAGAACCAGTTGGTTTGTTGAAGAAAGCTTATATTCATTTTCTTGAAGTTATTAATTTAGTGTTACAAATGTTTAGATTAAGATGTTTTGCTATAATATTTGCAGTGTGGAAAACAAATGCCAAATTTTATTGTATTCTTTTTTTAAGCTCTTATTCCAAGAAGAGACCAGAAGAGAGTTTATCAAGAGGTTTTATTGGTAGCAAAAAGTAAGGAACCATTGATCAAGAGGTATATTCAAATCTTAATGACCACTGTGCAGATATGTTAGCAACGAGTGGTGTCTAAATGTTTTTTCTCTTCTGTCGAAGCCAGGATGGCTTAGGCTAGGGCAACCAAAATTTGAAACGCTGTAATGAGTAGTCGATTTGTATACTGCTACAAGCTCATACCGACCACATTGTGAGGACATAATATATCTTTAGCTATGTACTGATCAAAACTTGTAAGTTCCTCTGGCATCAGGCTATCAGAGGTTTTTGTATTTTCTTCTTCGAGTCAAGCAAATGTAGATTAGTTTTCCTTATCCAAAAGTTTTCTAGTTATCTGGGTTGGATCCAAAGTTACGAGATTATAATTTGAACACTGAAGACTGCATACTGGGTATGAAACGGCTATTGAACGCTATTAAAGAAACAAAACATATATAAAAAATTTTTGTTGTTGGAACAGTGATGTTGATTTTTAGGCAAACAAACGCGATTCTTGATTTAGCAAAGAGTAATTTTTACCTATTTTTGAAGCAATATCAGATAAAGTCATTTAATTGAAAATTTCCACAATTGGGTACGCGCACGGCAAAAAGAAGAAGATCACGGATGACCACATATCGGATCTATGAGGTCAGTGCCAGACGATTGTTTATAAGCAAAATGGCGAGTAAAAGTTGAACTACGTTTCTCTACATAAATTATAATGTTAATTAACGTTAAGTTAATGAAATACAGCGCAGTATCACACAGCAAATTTGTTGTAATAAAATTCTTTCTCGTCTCCATCTTTTACTTAACTTAGATTTATTAGTTTACGTATTTTATTATAACTGTGATGCGTTTTTGTTTTGTGTACCTGGAAACTTCGATGCATAATTGGTTTATGTTCCACATGACTTCGTGCCTGTCTTTGTGTTAAGTTAAAAAGATAAAGAGAAGGAATTGAAATAATTGTGAAAGAATCTTTGCGAAAGAATATAGAATGTGACACTTAAGAAAATTGATACTGGACAGGATTGGCTTACTCAAAATAGAATGGAAAGAACAGTAGCTAACGCAAATAAATACCACGTTTCAACTAATAATCAGATTCGAGACACCCACACAACGTCACTTGCGGGTATCTCCATCTAAAATCATGAAAAACTTACCAGGCCCAGTTCCACTTAGTGGCCGAGTGTTAACCATGTGAACGCATCCTCTTGTTCTCATGTCCCAAAACCGGATTGTCCTGTCCTGAGAGCTGCTCACAAACATCACCCCACCCCATGTGTAGAGAGACAATATTTGTCCTGGGAAAGGAAGAAAAGCATCATTATCATTAATTAAATGCTTTTTTTTTCAAAACAAACTTTAAATACATTGTAAACTTTGTGCATTAAATTCTCACATTTGATACTGAATAAACCAAAGCAACGATGCGATATGAATCGTAGAAACCATTATTCTCATAAATTTGGCATATAAGTGCGTAGTTTTTAATTAAAGATATCCAGTTTTGATCATTAATTCCTGTAAAGAGAATTGGGCAGGATAGTCAGGTTGGTAGGACGCTGGGTTCGTGTTCGTCAGAACGGGAATTCGTTTTCCTGTGTAGGAAAGGGTGACTGGTGCACGTTAAAACTGTCGGGTCACAAAGTTCTCTATGCTCCCATAACAAATTATACCTCTCAGGGTACTGAATTGGAGATGGATCGTTCTCCGGTTCAGGTCAAAATTACGATCTGTGGATGAATGAATGGGTCCGGCCTATAAACGAGTGTGACAGAAGTCGAATTCTTCTCCATAGATGGCACCACTGGAAAACAAGAACAATCGCATCCCTTGCCATAATGGCCCACTACAACAACATAAAGAGAATTTAGATCTTTGAAACGACTTCATTGTCACGAATTTCACATTTTTCTCCATGACTGACTATATTCAGTAAAGTGAAAATGTTTATCAGGGCAATTATGAACAATGAAAGATATCTTGATTATGGTCCAGTGCAAGAAACCAGAGACATATTCGAAGCCAGTTGTCAAGTAAAATCGAGGGCTCCAGTCATGACAAAATAACTGTTGCGTCCCAACCGTCTTGCAGTTGTCTATAGGGGTCGTGTTTATGGGGTTAAAATATCTCTGTTACTTACCCGTGTGACCAGTGAGAGATTGGAATGGCATGGCTGTTTCACAATCAGTGATGTAGATCTTATTATCACCAGATCCACCACTAATCAGAATGTTCGATCTGTTGCTGATGTCCTCCATGAAGCACATGTCTCGAACAGTTCCCCCGTGCATCGTCAAAGGATGAGCGATATCTAAATTTAAAAAAACCATACATTAAAAACAAAAAAGAAATGAAACCTGTTATAGGTGAGCTTTGGTGTAATTTGGACAAGTTAAAAAAATGTACTTAAGACAACGGACATCGCTCTTAAAGTCACTGCGCAGATACCATGACGCATAGAATCTTCAATTTCTGAAAGCGCATAGAAAACGTACGTAGGGGAGAGTGGGGTCAATTGTATAATTTCTTACCCAACTATTTTTAACTAACAAAAAATCCAATATATTATTAGTATTAATTGACAGACAAGTAAAATAGTCTATCCTAGAAAAAAAAACTTATTTTAAATGTTATTATATTAGTTATTAACAATTTTTGATAGTCGTGGATTTGTTAAAATTGTCCCCACTTACCGGGTCAATTGTAACAGTTCATAAATTCAACTAAAACATAGTTAATTATACATATTATCATAGTTGTGATATATTTTTTTATTGATCAAAATAGTAGTGATATTTTAGGAGTAAAAATAATAATGAGCAGAGACCTAAAGGGTTAAACTTTTAACTTTAAGGGGTTAAAAATTTTAATTTATGCTGTGAAAGGTGACAAATAAAATAATGCACATGCAACATAATATAAATGATATAGGAAACTATTGGTGGTTCTTAAAGAGTTAAGTAATGGTTTGTAAACATAAGATTATTTATTTTCAGTTGTTACAATCGTCCCTTTACTTATTGTTACAATCGTCCCCAAGACGCCAGTTCAGCTTCATTTGTTAAAAACAATGCTAGTTATTTAACAAAACTAATATTATTTTTGAAATGTTAATTAAGGTGTCTACTTATATATTCGGTTAATAATTTTTATTTGTTTAAACAAAATTACTTTGTTACAATATAATATTCCAATACCAAAAAAAAAAAATACTTACTTAGCGTGAAAATATCTTATGCAATGTAACTCTTTCAAAAGTATATAAAAATGGTTGCCAGCAGGGGTGTACACGTAGATTTATTAAATACACCTTGTGCGCCAATTAGGAACCAAATTTGGAACCCGACACTCGAAATTTTTGCTCTGTTAAAATCGTACCCTGCTACAATTGACCTCACTCTCCCCTACCACGGAAAAAAAATTACAATTCAATAACACTGTACATCAAATTGGAAATCTTTTTCCAGCTATTTAGGTGAAACGTACATTATGGACTCAAACGGAGAAACTTAAAATACAGCTTGACTTTATGGACATTGAAAACTATCTGGAAACAGGTGATTTAAGCAAGAAAGGTGCTTTAGATCCAATTCTAAGAATCAGTTCCCTATGTGTACTGAATGAAAACCCAAACAGAATAGAATTTATACTGATAGCTCTAAGATCCTAGCTAAGACCTGAAGCTGGGGTATAAAGCAAACTGTTTACAAATTTCGCGGAAAAAGACATGCCTAACTTTGACGCTTAAATACATACCATATTATTGGAACGTACAAAATTCTAAAAAAAAAAACACCAATTTCTTTACAAAAGTCGTAATTTTAGTAAACTCGATAGCTGCAATACAGGCTGTTACGCCAAATCACTGAACTAAATCTTGTATCTACTCTATTCAAACAAGTTCCTCAAAAATAATAAGAAAGTGATATTATTCCATGGTATTGAAGACTACGTGACAGACGACTCTTAAGCCAAGAAGGGAAAGCAAATACTTCGTCTATAGGACATTTTTCATGCAGAATGCTATTGTTTCCATTGTACGGTGTAAAAATACCATTCAATCCGTTTTGGAATCCAGAAAAATGAAGCTGCGAAATTGAACGTTTTGAAGGGGCCATGGATGGTAACATCGATTTTTTTTTTTAAAGAGATATTCTAATTTGTTGAAAAATTAATTTCCCATTGAAATTACTTTTTGCGAATTTTTCTCATTTTTATGTTATTGATTAATTGATTGATAGATAGATGCATAGATAGATGGATGCATGAATGGATGTATAGATGGATGGATGGATAGATAAATAGATAACGTAAAGCTGGATGCAAATCTTAACATAAATATTAAAATTTTCAAGTACATAAAAAACAGAAATCATGAAAAATAAAGCCATTTTCTATTTATACTACAATGAATGCAAATTCACATTATATATGGTTTATACTTTAATGAACGTTTATGTGTAAACTATTGCTACGATATTTTTTCCTATTAAATAACTTACTATGTAAACATAAAAAAAAATACTTAAATGATGTTTTCTAAAGAGTAAAATACACACCCTCCAGTTGACAGGTAGATGAGTTGAACCTCATAAGTTTAACGGTTTTGTCATTTGAACCTGTGGCCAATAAGTCACCCGTAGCATTCCATGCCATGCAATAGATAGAGCCTTTGTGCTGTTTTTGTCGCTTGTACAAAATGTTAGGTTCACGAGGCTCATGGTCGATTCTGCAATAAAAAATAAAACAAGGTTTGTGATAAGACAAAATTAAAAGCCTGTAAGCAAAACAACAACGTTATAACACAATAGTTTAACTAATGCACATCAATTCTCAAGTAGTAATTTCTGCATTAATATTTCGTACAGTGAACAGAAAAGTAAACGGGCCACCCTAAATAACGTTTGATCTAATGATAGGATCTCCACGTTCAAGGACTCTATCTTAATGGTTTGACGTGTGGGGGACCTCAAATTTGCTAAATAATTAGTGCTGACGATATTTTTTAAGTTACGAAATCAGACACAAAAACGTACTTTCTCTAATTAAACATACCTTTTTTTCGACAGATTTGGATTTTTGACCCTCAAAATCTGGGGGGATAGCCGCAATCTGGGAAATAGGGTCTCAATAGTTTGGTCAGGAGAACCGTCAAAAGTTTGATCCCCTTAATGTTAATTTAACTTTACTTTTTGCGCATTTCATCATACCTCAAGAACTTCTTAAGTTAATTGAAAATTTTTTACACGAAATTATAAAACTTTTTTATCCACAGATAATTTCATGTAAAAGAAAACTTCTAGTTAATATTGATTATTTTTTATTTTCATATTTAATAATAGTCGAAAAAATTTAGAATTGAAAGGTATACAATTTTTTGCATCGTTTAAAAAAATGCAATTTTAAATTGCAAAACAAATATTTTTAGCAAAATAAATCAGTCGTATAGTTCCTGAGGAAATTAAATTTTTAAAATATGACTTTTTCAAAATTCGATTCTGTTTATTCAAGAAAGTAGGATTTTGTGCCTGATTTCGTAACTTAAAATATCGTCTGCACTAATTAAGTAGCATATTTAAGTCTCCCCTTCGAAAAATTAAGAATGAGTCCTAGAACGTAAATATCCGATCATTAGATCAAAAGTTAATTAGGATGGTCTGTTTTCTTTTGCGCAGTGTACATTAAAATTTAATAATAAAGAAATGAACTGGGCAATAACTGATAGATGATATAGTTTTTTATTCCAAAGAACTCAGTGAGTGAGGAGTCAAAAAGTGATCGTCTGTGATTGTTTTTGGAGCGAAAGAATGATCTAAGTACTATAAACAGTTGAAGAGTAAACTTAGAAAACCTGTCTTTTGGAAAAAAACTAAAACTCCAAGAGTGCCTATGTCATAACAAAAGAAGCTTAAATGCGTTTAATGAGCTTGTAGAATTCGCCAATTGGAAGCTCGCGAGAAAGAAACTAAGGCAAAGCATATTATTCATTTTCCATTGTGATCGTATAAATTTTTAAGTTCATTTACTCAAATTCAATAAAAAGAAACTTATATCTCTTCAATGCTTTAATTAGAAAACGCCACCTAGGAGCATATGACACTATGATTGCAAACGTAACTTAGAACCTTTTAGGTCTTACAAACATCACTCAGAACTTTTTGACACTGAGCTCTACAAACGTCATTAAGAATTTTCTGTATCTGATCTCTAAAAACGTCGTTCAGAACTTTCTGACACTATGGTCAACAAACGTCACTCAGAACCACCTGACATTAAGCTCTACAAACGCCACTTTGAATCTTCTGACACTACGCTTTGCAAACTCACTCACAACCTTTTGACACAAAGCTCTAGGAACGTCGTTCATAACCTTCAGACGCGAAGCTCTGCAAACGTCCCTCCGAACCTTCCTACATTTAGTTTTACAAATGTTGCTCAGAACCTTCTGACACTAAGCTCTACAAACGTAATTGAAAACATTCTGACACTAAGCTCTACAAGAGTCCTTCAGAACCTTCTGACACTAAGCTCTACAAACGTCACTCAGAACCTTCTGACATTAAGCTCTACAAACGTCACTCAGAACCTTCTTTCACTAACCTCTACAAACGTCACTCAGAACCTTCTGACATTCAGCTCTACAAACGTCACTCAGAACCTTCTGACATTAAGCTCTGAAAACATTGATTGCCCAAAGAAGACATTTTGACTGCTTTTTAATTTCAATTAAAAAAACAATGCTGTATATAATGACATAATTTCTTAGAATTTTGTGACTTTTTGTACAACATATAATTTTTTTGTTGTAAATATTTACTAATACCTTATTATATAACTGTAAATAATATAAAAAATATTAAAAATTAATTCTAAACAAATTTTGTTACACATTAGTCATTTTGACTGCTTATCAGATACTAAGCTCTACAAACGACACTTCGAACTTTTTTACTCTAAACTCTTCAAACGAAAGATTTGGTCTCATAATAACAATGCTCAATGCTTATTATATGGCATGATAATACTAGATAATAAATATTGCTTGAAAAAGAAAGAAGATTTTGATTGAAAAGTGGAATTAATTACCTGAGGTCCTTGCAGTTGGGATATCCGCATATTCTGAGAGCTTTTGTATTGGAACCGACAGCGTAGAATTTTCCAGAAGGATGGAATTCGACAGATCTGATGGCTTGCTCATCTTCAAGTTGCGTGACGGCTATGAAGTTCTGCTTGGATTCTGAACTACTGTCAGTACTACCAGAGGCTTGAGAAGTACTGCTTAGCTAAAAACAAAAAATTACGATCAAATACAACTAAAATACCTTAAATATTTCGAAAAGATTCAAAAGCTATAACAGCTTTAAACACTGAGCCCCACTTGCTACTCAATTGTGGATCGCAAAGAAAATTTTTTTAAATTCTTTTCGTGCAAATTTCGTAAAGCATTTCTAATATCAACTATTAAACAATATATAAATTAAACATTAAAATACACAATTAATGTTAGATTATGTATAAAAAATGTAACTTAACATTTAGGTTCTTTAAAAGTATTGGATTTTTGTTAAATTTTCCTCTCTAACGATGGATTGGAGTATAATCGTAGTAGGTTTAATAGATGAGGCGAATAAATCCTTTTTTTTTGGCTCGCCAAACGACAACTAATGTAAATTGCAGAAAATGAATCTGTAATCACTTAATTAAAAAGAATAAAAATTACAAGATAGAAATTATAAAAATTGGGTAATACTAAGCAAGTGTATACCAGACAATAGCCGTTAACCTCAAAGAACAGTGTAGTAAATACCGGGCAGATGTAAATAGAGAAGTAGACTTTACCTTTAAAATCAACAGTTTTGGGATTGCCTGCTTCCTGGTTGCCATCCCGATTAACTTGAACGTTATACAATAAAGAGTTACCGTTATAGATTGTTAACAAGTAAAATTATTTCTCATTTACTATTTTTTATTGTGTCACACATTCTCGATTTTTTAGTTTTACCTTTTTTTTCAAGTACAGTTAATACAATATAGTTAATTTTCAAATGCAGTTAGTTGGCTTTTTCAAATCCAAGTAATCGTACATTTTGTTACAATTAACATGTTAAAAATGTTGTAGCATAAAATTGCAATACTTTTTACATAATTGTGTGTGAAAAATATCGACTTTTAAGTAATAAAAAAAAAAATTGCGTGCATGAGGGGGTTGGTGAGCAAAGCGAGCAGAAGGGTGGAATCTCCATAGACTTACTTTAAATATGTATTATGTTGAATGAACAGACTAATGCTGATTATTTTGCCGTCATTTTAGAGTGAACATTTTAACAATGTATGGTGAATATAGTAGCTCTTATTTATTATTTTAAAAAAAAGTTATGAAAATATATTCTTTTAAATAAGATAAAAAAAACTTTTTTTAAAAATCTTAAAATATGCGAAACAAATTTTAAAAATACGTAATCAGTCCTTGAAAGCAAAAAAAAACCATTAAAAAATCTTAAAATATGCAAAACAAATTTTAAAAATATGTAATCAGTCCCTAAAAGCAAAAAAAAAAGTTAAAAAATCTTAAAATATGCAAAACAAATTTTAAAAATACGTAATCAGTCCTTAAAAGCAAAAAAAAGTTTAAAAAATCTTAAAATATGCAAAACAAATTTTAAAAATGCGTAATCAGTCCTTAAAGGCATAAAAAACAAACATAAAAACCTTTAAAAACGAGTGAAATTAAAATTAAGACAAACAGGAATTGAAATTTATAAACATTAAATTTTCTCCATAAAATGTATAAAGCCTAAACAAATTTTTTAAAATCACAATTTAACAATACCTTACATTTATTATACACAGTTTTAATTTTATACACTATTTTAACCATACACAATTATAATTCCTTCATTTTAGTTTGCACAACTGCGTTATTTAGCGCAACATATCCCCATTTAATCTATTTTCAGATTCGATAATCCGGTATTGTTTACCGTTTCGGGGAACAAATATAAAAATAAAAAAAATAGTCCCGCAGGGCGCAGCGATTTTTAGAAACAATACACAACTTTCGCTTTTTGCTTATAATTATAGCTTGCAGTAAAAAGTGACCAGTTGAAGCGAAAATGTCCTTTAAAATCATGACTCGTTTAACTGAGTGACCCAAATGGTTAATAGGAAGTTAAGAATTATTTGTCAAGGAAATAATTTCTTTTAAAAAGCCGATGATATCTTTCATTTCAAATCTAACGTTAGTTTATTTCATGTGAGTGATTTAATTAGTTAAATTGAACTTATTCGTTATTGATGTGAATGATGTATTGATTACATTAGGGAAAATAAACGGTGTGAAGTTTTATAAAGATTCGAAAACGTTTTCCTAAACACTTTCATTGTGGACATTGCTGTAGATGCGTGTTTGTTTAATAAAATGGATATAATTTTTGATTCCGGTTTTTAAATTTCTCAAATGAAATTTTTTATTTTTTTTAACTCTTTAACGCAGATCGGAGTACCTTTTATATATTTTTTTCGACTCTCCAATTACAAGCAAAAATATATTTTGGGTATTGTTTAATTATTAAAAACAATCTAATAGTTACTAAAAAATCCTTTAGATTATCGGAATTATATTTTTACTACACTATAAAATCGAAAAAAAAAAGTTTTTTGAGAATTTTTTTTCATTCATATTAAAAAATTCAAAAGTATTCGATTTTGAAAACTAAAGAAATTTCAGTGATAAATAACTGTTTCTCTAAGGTCCAAATAAGCTCAAATTTGAAAAATTTTTGTTTGAAAGTTTTGTTTGCCTTTAATACAGAAAAAGACTCATGGGTTTCATGCTGTATTTTATAAACATAAATTATTAAAATGGTAAATATAATATTTTTCATTTATTTTAACTTAAATTAATACAAAATAAAGAAAAAAATGTATAAAAAGCATGTTTAGTAAAAATTCCGCGCTAAAGGGAATAAAGTAATGAATTTTTTTTAAAAAAAAACAGAATTTGATATGGGTAAATCACTCATTACATTTTTTCTGAATTTGAATTCTTCTAACTAGTTAATATATGCAACATGGATGATGAACTCATACTGAAATACATGGATAGTACACTCATACGAAAAGTCACGTGATGTAGTAAAAAGAAGAGAAAAAAAACATCCCTAAAAGACCAGGGCGTATAACCCCAAGATAATTGGTCCTCTACGTAAAAAAAATTTTAAAAATCGTTTTTTGCGAAGTAAATTTTTTATGGATATTTAAAAAAAAATCTGAATTTTTCTAATTATTAATACGTGTAACATGGAGGATTTACTGATAGAGAAATACATGGATAGTACACTCATATGAAAAATTAAAAGATGAAGTAAAAATTTAAAAAGAAATTATCCCTGAACGACCAGGTCAGAGCAATTTTACGCATATTCTTTTCAAAATTTATTCAATGCTAGTATTTTTCAAAAATTTTGTTTTTCTTTTTTCATTTCCATTTTAACCAAATAATTTCTTAAAAATTACCGAAAAATAAAATAAATAATGTTTTATCGGTACAAAAATCATTTCTGTTCCTTTTTTTTTGGAAAAAAAAAATTTTTTATGGTATTAAATTAAAATTTTTTCAAAAACTTATGTTAATTCCTGTCATTAAATGGAACTGTAGATTGACTCAAAAATTTTACTGCGAATCAAAATGAAACTTCATTGTTTGTTAGAGATTTAAATTTAGAACTGTGTTACGTTCCAACTTTTTTTTTTACGTTCGCAAACTTTATCAGGTTTAATTTCATCTATATTTTACCACTTAAAATATTTTTTTTCTTTTATGTGAAACTTGTATTCAGGTTATATCCGTATCAGAATATTGAAACTACCTCTGTTTTCTTTCTTCTTTTTTTTTAATATTTCCCGGGAATTATACATCGCTGTTTATACCCTTTATTATTGTTAGAATTCATGTGTGAAGCGCATTATGCAGAAAAAGGGAAACGGAACATTTGAATAACTTTTAATCTTTAATCTTATGGTCATACTTTAACGTACTAAGATGCACTGTTAGTAGTTCCAGGCAGGGCTCGAAAAACCGCCCGTCCTCGGCGGTTAAAAATTCCCCGAGGATAACGAATTTCTCGAATCCGACGTCCGCGCGGACGGCCATTTTCCCGTTAATGTTCGTGATACATTTTCAATTTTTGTTATCTTACAAGAGTCTAGCGCCTCACTTCTAAAATGACCCTCTAATCTAGAAATACAGCAACATACTGCGCATGGTGGAATTGATGTTTTCTCTGTCTGGGAGTACTGCAGCGGTTGAAAGGGGCTTTTCAGCAATGAACTTACAAAAAAACACATTACGTACTGGTCTTAAACAAGAAGCGTTAAACGCAATTATGAACATCTACCTAAATGGAAAACCCCTTTCAGATTTCTGTGCAGAAACCTCTGTAAATCATTGGCTTGATTGTGGAACTGGCAAACGTCATATTTGATTCATTTAAAAAACGCAGTACCCTCGGATAAATTGACATTCCAGATAACTTGACCTTTGTCATTTAAATTATTTCATAAAAGAAATAAATTATTTCATAAAAGAAATACTAGGTTACTATTAGTAACCTAGTGTTTCTTTTATTACTGTATAATGTAATCTTAGTAACTACTAATTCATTGTGTAATTTATATAAATGTTTGTAATAAATAAGAGAAAAATTTTATTTTTATTTATTTAGAAGCTACGAGTTAGTTTCAAAGGAGGACGGGTATATTGTTGGACAAGCCGTCCTCGGGGACGGGTAAAATTTCTGAGTTTTTTCGAGCCCTGGTTTCAGGGATATATTTTAAATATTCAACTTGACCAAAAAACGTACTTTCGTTTATCTGATTTTCATTCGATTAATTAAAATTCTGCGCCTGACACTGTTATTTAAAATAAGTTTTTGCCTTAAATAAAAATAAGTAACTATAACTATTAAGGTGGGTACTTATTGAAAGCGAAATGCGCAGAATAAAGTAGTTATGGAGATTTTTAATGTCACTTCTTATGTTAGGTAACGTAATTAATCGAAATGCTAATCATAAATTGATACGTTGAGATTTTTAATGTCACTTCTTATGTTAGGTAACGTAATTAATCGAAATGCTAATCATAAATTGATACGTTATCATCGGGGTAAAATGGGAGACCACCGTTATTTGTTCAGACGGCAATTATAAATGCTGAAACTTTAGAAAAAAAGAGTCAAACTTAAATATATATATAGCAGGCGCGTAATGCAACATAAAAAAGAAA